AAAAATCCCATTGAAATGCATTGAAAACCCGTTCAATGCATTCCAATGGGCTGAAAACTCACCGCCCAGCGAAGATCCTCCATAGGGTCGGCCATTTTCGGTGCCTGTAAAGCGAGGAATCCATCCAAAAACACAGCGGGGAGCCATTTTACACAACGGGAGGCCATTTTAAAGTGGCCGATCAGCTGTTTTAAAAACATTGTCTAGCAAAAAATTGGTTCCCGAAGCAGGGAACCAATCGTTGGGAAGCGAATTTTGCCTATTAAAAGAATATTTTGTGATCGCAAAACGGTCGTCGTGTAACGGTTTCATCATTTAACGAGGCAATCATTAAGTGAGGCACCACTCTATTGTTTTCACTTACCTTTTGAAACTACAGTCAAACTGATAGCACAACTATCTTGGTCATCTTCACAACTCTCCGAACCGCCTGTGCAGTTGTTGCTGGTAGCTGAGCAAGTCTCGCATTCTAAGAAAGAAGCTTATAAAGAAGAAAGGAGATGTTTAGTAGATGTGGGACAGGCCTTGTTCAAATGTAAAGTAGAGGTAAAGGTTCCCCTTGACAATTTTTGTCCAGTCGTGTTCGACTCTAGGGGGCGGTGCTCACCCCCGTGGATTCGATCTTACAGCTGAAGATCTACAGACCTTACAGCACAGAGGCTTCTGCGGTTTAGCCCACAGTGCCACCACGTCCCTCTCATTCATATGTAAAGCTGCCTGCAAAAAGTCATGCTTGGGAACAAACTGACCCAAACCAAACCTTTTAGACTAATGTGGAGATCAGAACAATGTATCAATCACCTTTCAGATTTCATGTATCTGGAATGGTATGTTCCAGTGCATGTCTCAATGGTAAAAGTGCATCTGAAATGCACATTTACACACAGAGCTGTGAATTAGGTCTCTGGCTGTATAGCCAGAGGTTAGGAGTTCAATTCCCCCCTGTGCCTCCTTGAAGAACAGCCAGCCCGTGGGGTCTCAGGAAAAGCTGCACCATCCCATGGTTCCCCCAGAAGAAGGGAAGGGTGCAATATTTCTGAATCCTGTCTACTGAAGAAACCCTGAAAAGGGTTACCATAAGTCAGAATTGACTTGACGGCTGTCAATTATTCTTATTTTTAAAATCCAGTTTGAGCAGAAACAAGAGAGAACAGCCTTATACGGGAAGACATGTTAGTGTCTTCAAAAGAACTTCACAGAATTGACAGATTTTTTTTTGTTTACCATCTGTCTTCTGAGACTTATACTGCTCTGCCCATATCAGATGGCATAGCTCTTTTCAGATATAGTGTGAAATATGGCAGCGCGGCAAGTTCGTTTCCAGGTAGCATCTAGCAACTGAATTCCCACCTGGATGGTTAATAGCGGGTTCCTTACCTGGAGGTAGAAGCAGAGAAAAGAGGGCCAGTCTCAGGAGACCTTGCATGATGGCGTTGAGGAGAAACACAGGCCAGCTTCTAAACGTCTCCTTCCGCTGAGACAATATTTGTCACCTAAAGATGTAGAAAAACAGCATGCATTTCGGTCCGGATCCAGCCTACCTTTTAATATGAAGAAGTGCAATGTCTTTTTATTGATTGTTATCTCATCAGTCTTGTGCAGCTGATTTCATTTTGTACCTTGACTGCAGAGAATGGACGCCAGAACAGCTCTACTGTTAGGCAGAGGGAGGAGGAGGAGAAAGAGGCAACTGGGCTCAGAAGTCCATCAAATCCATGCATTTACAGTGGTGCCTCGCTAGACGATGATAATCTGTTACACTGAAATCGCTGCTTAGCGAAATCATTGTCTAGCGAAAAGCATTTCCTCATTGGAATGCATTGAAACCTGTTTAGTGCATTCCAATGGGGAAGAATCGTCATTGTCTAGCGAAGAACGGCCATTCAGCTGTTTAAATCACTGTCTTGCGAAGCTTAGGTCCTGAAAACACCTGTTTTGCGAGCGCGGAGGGAGCTGTCAAAATCGCCGTCTAGCAAAAAACGGTTTGCGAAGCAGGGACCAAATATTGTCCAGCGAAATTCCCCCATAGGAATCACTGTTTTGCGAATCACTATAGCGATTGCAAAAAGTCAATGTCTAGCGAAAAAACTGTCATGTGGGGTAACTATCTAGTGAGGCACCACTGTATTTTACAAGGAATGAGCATGCTTCAAGCTATGGCCTTCTCTGTTGTTGCTCCCAGACTCTTGTACTCCCTCCCACAGGAGACCAGCTTGGCCCCATCTTTGCTGTCCTTCTCAAGTAGGCAAAAACCTTCCTCTTCAGACAGACTTTTTCCTTAGTGGCTGGCAGTCTGAGAGGGGTTTTAAAATTGGACTGTCCTGCTCTGTTGCTTTTAAATGTGTTTTTAGTGCTGATTTTATTTACCTTTTCAAAATGTGGCTCATGTTTAATTCTTTTTAAATATTGATGTATTTGCTGTTTTTAGCTTTTAAATGTTGCCGTTTCAACCATGTTAAGCCGTTTTGGGTCCATCGTAGGAGAAACGTGGGGTAAAATAAATATATAAAGAAGGAAATGAATGTGACAGTCAGCAGACCTTGCGTAAACCAGTCAGAAGTTACAGCAGGTTGTGCAACGTATAGGGAGGAACAGAGTTGGAATGCTGGGTTTAACAAAATAAGTAGCATTTGTTAGTACCTTTCAAACACTGGAGAAAAGCAGTCCTCTTATAAAACCTACAGCCAGACCTTGTATGTTTACCGTACTGCCCAAATGAAAAACAGAGACTGAAAAAAGGCAATCCCAAATACACTTAAAGCAAACCAAGAACGCAGCCTACTCTGTCAATACATAAGCACAATTTGCTAAAAAGCATAGCACAGCATTAAAAGTATTTCATAAATCATCGTAAGTTTCTGTTGCTCTCCGTTGCGATTCCACACCCATCATACCTGGGGCCGGTCCTACCAAGAGGCAGAGTGATTCGCCCAGCTGTTTGTTTTGCTACACATTACAGATAAATGTTAGAGAGTGGCCATGGTTTCAGCACATCCCCTGCGCATTTGCCCTGTAGCCTTGAATACGCTGCCTGTTAAACCATAGGGTTCTGGGTGCCCCACACGTTTTCCTGGCCCACAAAAGCTCTCAAATGCACCAAGAGCCCTGTTTCGTCACCCATAACCAAAACTGGATTGAACAGACACTCTGACCAGCTTCTCTGTGTGGAAAGGGGTGTCCTCTCCCCTTGACTCAAATTGCAGAAGGCCGTGGGGCCAGCCCTACTGCCCCACCCCACGTACCCTGTACCTACTTGATAAACCCGGTCCTCCACGCAGCTCAAGGTGTCCAAACAACCCATCTTTCTAGAGAAGAAACAGAAACCGGAAACCATGAGCTGCATGCGGTGTGAAATTGCCTTCGGGTTGCTCAAAAGAGCAGCCTTGCGTAGCTTCCCCCTTATCAGCAGCTTGACATACTCAAACTGAGCAGGGGAAGTCTGTCCTGTGACCCTTATCTTCTTTCCCAGAAGTGTGTTGTCACCTGCTGTGCAGCTGAATGGTAGGGTTGATCATGCTGAAAAACACACAGGGCCAGATCCTGGTGCATGCCTTCGTAAAATCAGAATAAAATCGTTGGTTTCCTGGTACTCTGGGAGAAACCGAAAGGGTTGTGTTATTTATAGCTACTCTGTTGTAAACCGGGTTAATGTCAAAGCCTGGATTTTTTTTTTTCAACTGGAGTTCCCTGCCTGGGAATTCCAATCCAAAAATAACTTTTCTGGGCTCTGGTGAAAGTATCATGTTACCGTCCAACATGGCCCATGAGACCAAAGGCCGAGGGCTGACGGGAAGCCTATGGCACGGATGGCAGAGCACGTCGTTCTGCAAATGTTGAACTACAATGCCAATCATTTCCAGTGCCTAAGTGGATGAGCACCATCAGTCCGACATCTTCTGGATAATAGCGTTAGCTGATCATGGCCAGAATTTTGCTGATGATTTATGCTTTGCATAAGCAAAGTTCCTTAAATTGCCAGAGCAGGTGGCTGTTAATGAATGAATTGCTGGTTGGATTCCTGGTTACATGCCCAGTCACATGATGGGCATGCCACTGGAAATACCATTGGCATCTTGTTTATCAGCAGCACTTTGCTGCCACTGGTAGTACAGTGTCAATTACACTTGATCATATCTGCAACACAGTTTTTGTTGTGCACGTGTAAAGATTCTGGCCACTGTCGTTTGCTGGGGTGTGCATCAGTGCTGCCCTCCACTAGACCATAGGAAAGCCACAAGTAGGGCATGTGATTTTATTTTCATGTACATGCTCATATAGAGCAAAGTGTTCTGCTTATATATCACACCATAATGCTTAAAGCACTGTGGTTTTCAGCATAATTATGCAAGGAACACTTTGTGTCCCCAGCATGTTGGATGTTCATTTGACTGCCTTCGAAAGGCTGAGTCAACCTTGAGTCCGCTACGTGAGCCCGTCAGGATCAAACTCAGGTAGTGAGCAGAGTCTTGACTGCAATACTGCAGTTTAACTACTGAGCCACAAGGCTCTTATTGCTGCTTAACAATCAACATTTAGAGGCTTATTCTTCCTGAATCTGATGCTGAGGTTTACCCAAATGACTGTGTTGCCATCATAAACTAAACACCCGAAATTGGAGCAATCAAAAGAGAGATCCGTTTTCATTTTTTTAAATACATTTTATTAGTTTTTCATTCTATCTACATTCAATTTGTGCTTGTCAAACATCGTGTTACATGATCTGCTCACAGTTATTTGTTTTTTACATCTCAGTGTCTTCCCAATTGTCCCCCCAAATTCCAGACATCTTTCAAACATTCAAACCATTAATGTATATATTTTAGTATATAATATTGGCTACTATCATAATATTACCTTCATGGTGTACAATATTCTCAAGATCTTCTCGTAACATACTTAATAAAAGCAGTTCCAGATCCATGCCCCAACCTTGTATCTAGTTTAATTTACCTAAAAAGAAAACCCACCATATTACGCCTTTACCCTGGTTAGTGCTCCCTTATTTCAATTTAATTCTCCTTTTTTAATATAAAAGATGTGCTCCTTTACAATTTTCGAAGTTATATATATACATGCTTTTCAACATTAAGGGCCCCCTTCCTATTTTTCCTCTTTTTCATCTTTCTAAGTAATTCCCTCTCTTATTTCTCTTTTTTCACTTTTTGTTTCTGTCTCTCTGAGCATTCTGCCATCTTTCATGCTCTCTGAAACTATTTTGCGCATCTGATTTATCTCCACTTGATCTTTATGCACTTGGTCTCTCTTCAATAGAACTTCTGGGCTTTTAAAAATCAATTTTGCTGATCTGTTTTCTTTGGCACACAACAACTTGTAGAAATAGCTCAAAAAAAAAAAACCCACACAAACAAATGGAAAAATCAAAGTTGCTTTGAAGATGCTTTGCGGTGAGGTGTAAACCTTTGGATTCTACTGCATAAGAATTCTGGCTTAAAAATGTACAAAAATAAATAATAAATAAGTGGGCAAGGCGTGCTTGTTTAAGCCAGTGGTTCCCAACCTTGGGTCCCCAGATGTTCTTGAACTAAAATTCACAGAAACCTTTGCAACTAGCTTTTGCGGTGAGGGGTAAACCTTTGGATTCTACTGCATAAGAATTCTGGCCAGATGGGCAGCTTAAAAATGTACAAAAATAAATAATAAATAAGTGGGCAAGGCGTGCTTGTTTAAGCCACTGGTTCCCAACCCTGGGTCCCCAGATGTTCTTGAACTAAAACTCACAGACGCCTTTGTAACTAGCAGTGCTGGAAAGGATTTCTGGGAATTGTTGTCCAAGAACAGACAGGACCCAAGATGCAGAAGGACTGATATAGAGGATCCTGGATTGCAGTTCCCACTACCTGGCCAGTGTGGGAAAAAAACAACCCAGCAACATCTGGAGGGCCTCGTTTTGTCTAATCCTGCTGTGCTACTCATTGGGGCATTAGAACCTTCCGTATGTAGAACATACATTAAGCTGTATGTAACCATGAACACAAATTGGGCAAGTTGTCTTCACCTTTTTCAAGATAATTTATCTGATTTGTGTTCAGGATTGCATATAGCTAAGCCAAATGCATGAATAAAACCATAGACTTGATCATTCATGATGCTTTTATTCCTATTTTTCCTTCAAGGAGCTGAGATGTTCATGAAACTTTGCCAGACATTAAATTCAAGCTACTCACAGTGTCCTGGCTGGGAATCTAGCCAACTACATGGAAAATATGCCTTGCTTTATCCATCTAACCAAGGCTGAAAACCATTTCTTGTTGCTCATTTCTCTTGGTTCAAGAACTGGAAGATGATGGCAAAACTCTCGGGGTCATGTGGCTAGCTCCAGAAGAGTTTGTATTAAAGAGATCAGGAATGCTGTTTTGCTGCAGGGTGGCAAGGACGTTTGCTAGCAGGAGCCCGGAAAGAGTCATGATATAAGAAGCTAGAGATGTAGGGTCCTTAGAACATTTAACGTTGGTGATAGTGGTATCTCCAAAAGTTTTGCCTATTACTGCTTGGAGAGCTTTGCAGACACGTTTGACGGTGCAGGTCCTGGTAATGGTGTCGTGACTGACTCCGCCTGGGGATTTGAAAAACAAAGTCAATTCATCAGCAGAGTTATAGATCAGAGTCACAAATCATACAAACCAGTGCAACCAACCAGTGTATGCCCTGCCTTTTCATGCTCAAGGCAGCTGAAATAGCAATTTCAAAAGGGCAATCTGGAACTACTCTGGCAGAACAAAGCCATCATCATCACTCTGGTTACTGCATTACTACATACACTTGCTCTCTCCACTCTCCACCTGAAGGCGATGCTGGATACAATGGAAGCCCATCCCACCCAGAGATCGGCACTACAGTCATTGAACTTATCAATTATGTTGAACATTTTCTAATGTCATTGGTCTATCTTATTAGCGTTTAACTTAACACTGAGATTTTGCCCACGGAAAGAAAGAAAGCTGTTGCCAGGTGACAGAATCATCAGTGAAACAGATAATGAAAACACTGTTGTTTCTCCAAGTAGAAAATATCTATTGCCCAGCCTGATGAACAGTCTTGAAGTAAGTTAAGAAAGGATAAAGAATCACTTTTGAATTGTGGTGCTGGAGGAGGCTCTTGAGAGTCCCCTGGACTGCAAGGAGAACAAACCTATCCATTCTGAAGGAAATCAACTCAGAGTGCTCACTGGAAGGATAGATCCTGAAGCTGAAGGTCCAATACTTTGGCCATCTCATGAGAAGAGAAGACTCTCTGGAAATGTACTCTGATGTTACGAAAGTGTGGAGGCAGGAGGAGAAGGGGATGACAGAGAACGAGATGGTTGGACAGTGTCATCGAAGCTACCAACATGACTTTGACCCAACTCCAGGAGCCAGTAGAAGACAGGAAGGCCTGGCATGCTCTGGTCCATGGGGTCATGAAGAGTCGGACATGACTAAACAACTAAACAACAACAACAAAAGAATCACCTGGACGTAACGACTAAACAACAACAACAAAAGAATCACCCAGAGCCTGCATAGCTGCATGGTCTCAGAGTGCCATCAGAAGGAGAGATCAGTAAACCTCTTCTGAATATCACCTATATCTAGAAAACCTATACCTTGAAAGATTGCTCTACATTGGAGTTGACTAGCAGCAGATAATTGTTATGATGCCTCACGCTATTAAAACAAAGAGAAAAAGGCATGATCGGCAGTGAGTGCATCTGAGGCATAGTTCAGCTATTTCATTTGACTGTGGGTAATTTTTCCACCGTGTCCTCTGGGGACTGCATGAGTAAATGGGGAAAATGGGGCAGGGAGAAGTGGCTTAGAAGTGGTATGGGGGGGGAAATGTAAAACAATGCAGTGGCTGCTTGCTGTGATACATAGTATTGGACAAAGTGGGTATTGGGTAATAAAGTGCTTCTCAGCTTCGGGTCGCCAGATGTTCTTGGACTACAACTCCCAGAAAAACTGACCAGCAGAGTGAAGGCTTCTGGGAGTTTTAGTCCAAGAATTTCTGGGTACCTAAGGCTGGGAATCACTGTGGCAATGATGGGCCAGGAACACCCAAACCTGTCTTATAATTTCTCTTACTAACCAATTGTGACCGCACTCCAGATTGTGCTACAAATGCCCTCCTCTTCAGAGCAATTCATTTTAACGCCAGTACAGGTGGTTGCAGTGGCGACACAAATGTCGCAGTCCACAGAGCTAGCTGGAAGAGGAAAGACAAAAAAAATCATGAATAATATTGGAGGAATTTCTTAGTCATTTGCAAGATAAAGGGGGTCAATCCCCCCATGGGTGCATACAATACTCCTCTTGGAATTCAGTGGCATGAGTGAAGAATATCTGCTGAATTGCTTGTTCATGATGGCTTGGACTCTTTTCAGCATGAGAACACACTTCCGTAAGGAATTTCCCAACTCCATGAGATGACTTGACTTCAGCAAAAAATTGCTGTGAATGCTGTTCTACCATCTGAAAGTTTTTGCAATTTGTTCAAAAGGTTTCTGTGGCAGTCTGGACAAAACTAGTGTCCTTCCCTTTGAGAAGCCCAACACCGATGCCCACATAGAGCAAACACAGAAGAATTGCCTGATTGTTTTAAAGAGACACAAACAACCCATCGCATGCTTCTAATTTTCAAAGGTTTGTGCAATAAGATGGTTGTGGGGTGGGTTTTCTTTTTCGGACTGTGCCAGTTACAGAAGTCACACAATGGGCACAAATCCCAAAATGTATGGGGAGAATGGTCTTGCCAATGTGAAAAATCATGTCAATTGCACCAGAAAATATCTTGTTCTGTGAAAATCCTTCTGATTTTTCATTCCCATATGCAAGGACGAGGCTAGCAAGGATGCAATGACCTCTCCTAAAAAAACATGAGTGGAAGAGGAGAACTGGCGGATCTCATGTGCCCCAGATGGACTTATCTCTGACCTCTTTCAATTCTATTCTTGCTTTGTTGAAATAATTCTGTTAAACTAATGGAGGAGCCCTTTCTTTAATGTGTTTCTGTGCTTACTAACAATTCCTCACCTGTAATGAAGAGCATAGGGATGCAGAAGAGTCCCAGGAGAGCTTGCATAGCAAAGTGTGTCCACAGTACGTCTTTCTTTGATGAAACCATTCTTCTGGGCTGAATTGACCTGAAAATATATTTGAAGAAGATACAGGAAAGAGTGAAAAAGCCCTTGACTTTAGTAACTCAATTGTGCTGGATGTGAGTTTCACGGGTGGACCAAGTTCTCCCCTGGGCTGAAATGAAAAGGACTTGCTACCTCCTAGCCAGAACGCATTGTACCATGGCAGTGACATCTGCATACTTTTCTCCACTGGAGTAGGAGGAGATGGTGGTAGCACAGCATTGTTCTGGCCAGAGGAGGAGACACTCAGATTCTCCCCACTCCAAACACTGGCAGAAAAGATGGAGGAATGGCATTCACCACCAGAGGCTAATCAGGGCCATCTGTTCTTAAATTTCTGGTTCCATGGGTCATCAGAACCAGAAACTGTGGAACTAGTGATCAGGAAGGTGGCTTGTGTGCCACATCATGCTCTGCCTTTAGACCGTGCATTTAGGAAGTTGACTATTCTGGGTTGTTGCACATGAACTTCCAGCGGAGCTTTGCTGGACCCCTAGTGAAGGAGAGTCCACCAACTTCTCAGATAATCTAGCTTCCTCTACCATATTGCCCTTAGTATGACCTTGACTATTTATTATAATTTTTTTCAGTTGATGTTACTATAAATTACCTTGAAAAACATGTCTTGCCAGAGAGCAACAAATGCAATTGCAGCAACAGTAACAGAAGAACAATAAAAAAAAGGTTGTTAAAGAAATATTACAGGAAATGGTATGATAAAAATCTAGGTAGCTTTGCGGTTTATTGTTATTAGAGACAGCAATCCCTTAAAGAATTGCCTTCAACTCTGCAAGAAATATTCTTTATACGAAGCTCATAGACTGGAGTCAAAGAGGTAGTATTTTTACATTGGAGAACAATTTCATGGGATGATAGAAGGATATGTGATCTATCTGCTCTAGCTTAGAGATGCTGATGGGTTTCAGCTGTTGTTACTCCTTTACATTGTCTTTCCAGAGCCAATGGGAATTTCAGTACAACGGCCTCAGAGAATCACTCATTTCCCAACCCTGACCTAATTAATTCCATAACAGACGTAGGTCAAGTTACTGGAGAATCTACCAGTAAAATAGACCTCAGGTGCCTGCTAAGATGATGCAGAACCAGAATAAACTGTAGTCTCTTTGGTGGTCCCAAACAATCCATCTCCCCATCATGATTTGACTCTGGAACACTAGCAAAGTATAGATGAATGGAGGGTTAGTCATAATCACTGTGACACTGCACAATGCCTTTCGTGATCATGAGACCTGTCTATTAAATGTTCATGCATCATCCTTAGCTTTGAATTTAAAAATAATATTTTTTGGTGGGGGAGTAATCATGGATAAGGTAGATTTAACTCTGAACTTAAACTGGCAGGACTTTAAAAATTCTAAACAATGAAAACGACCGATATAAACAGAGAAAGATATACTTGCTGCTAAAAGATGTAGATGACCTGCTCTGAGATGACTTTAAGAGGCCATGTGACATAGGAAAAGAGCATAAGGACATCAGCGGCTACTGTCATAATAGCCATATGCTAATTTCAGGATCCTGAAGCTGTTTGCCTCTGAACATCAGTTGTTTAAGGGAGGGACCAATTGTACAGGGAGATCACCTTCCTGTCTTGAATATAGAGAATTCCCAAATGCATCTGGATGGCTACTAAGCAAGACTAGGTAAGTCGGAACCTGCAGGGTCACTCCGCTAAGGCAAGACTCTCAGAGCACTCCTAATATGAAGCATAGGGACATGCAAGCTTTACGAAAACTAGGATCTGCAAAGGTTGCTTGGTTCCATTGCCAGGTGTTCTGCGGGACACTTGGCGATCTAATTAGACAAGGTTTGCTAAATCAAAGGCATCTCATTTCATGAGATTTCATGGACAAAATCTGAGACTATGGCAAGTCCTTCTGGTGTCACCGGTTTGGGACTTTCAAGGGTTGGGCGATAGGCAGATCTGCTTCTTGCCCTGCTGAATGTGGAAATGAGCATTGGCAGAACCTGGGTTAACAGGACCAAATCTGGATTGAATCCAGATAACCAAGTAATATAGCAATATAGAGCCAAGGTTCTTCCTCCCCATCTCCTAAGCAAAGTCTTATTTGGAACAAGGTGGGAATTGGTGTAGAAGAGTGTTTAGGCTGGGCAGTCACCATGCCTGTAGAAGTCAGATTTCTTCCTCCTTCAGTCTTAGTTACCATAAGTCTCTTCCCACCTGGGGACAACTGGTACTTTAGGTTTCAGCCAACACCCTGAGACATGGCAAATCTAGGTTGGGCATCTCATAAGAATGGAGGGTAGGATGACGGAAGAATCAGACCAAGAAAAGACGCAACCACTTTTCATCTTGTTTCAACTGAAGATGCAAGAAGCAAGTGCTGATGTAAAGGATAAAAGGCTGAAGAACAAGAACAAGTTATTTTGATGCCTAAAGATCAGAAGAAAATGAAGTCTTCTCCTATTTGGTGTACAAAGGCCAACTGGAGAGGATGTTGGAGTGGGAGCTGTCATCTCAAAGGCATCAGACTCTCCCTAATCAATTGCCCACCTCTGCCATTTCTGTTTCCACAACTGGAAGACAAACATCTTCCAATGCCTCCCATAAAAAGATTATAAAAGCCATGATGGATCAGAACTAAAGGTTTCCAATTCAGCATTCTGTCCACTTGAAACTCAAGCAGGGCATGAATGGGATGGGGAGAACATGAATGAAACATCAATGGCCCACGTCTGTCGCATGGTAGACTGGAAGACAAACATCTTCCAATGCCTCCCATAAAAAGATTATAAAAGCCATGATGGATCAGAACTAAGGGTTTCTAGTCCAGCATTCTGTCCACTTGAAACTCAAGCAGGGCATGAATGGGATGGGGAGAACATGAATGAAACATCAATAGCCCACATCTGTCGCATGGTAGATCCAACTGACAAAGGATGAAATTTTGCTGGACATGACTTTTGACACTCAAACTTGATAAGGACAAAACAAAATGCAAATCTGGTTGAGGAGCTGTCCAAGGTTGGAATGGCAAGGCAGGCACAGGAAACCAGAATCAAAATTCCTGGTGGCTACTGTGCTAGTAGGGAGCTGTCCAGCACCAATATGAAAATGCTGGCTGGATACCTCAGAAGTTGGGAATTAAATTTCCTCCTGTGCCTCCTGTGAGTAGAGCCAGCCTGTGTGGCCTTGGGCAAACTGCACAGTCCCAGGGCACCCCTAGAAGAAGGGAATGATAAACTGCATCTGAATATTCTCTATCTGAAGAAACCTGAAAAGCACTGCCAGGTCAGAACTGACTTGACATGATGAGATAGGAGTTTGATGAGGGATGATGATGATGATGATGATGTTTTTATTGTTCTTGTTGTTGTTGTTGTTATTCTTCTTATTATTAATTATCCATTGCCTTTCAGGCTCCGATGGCAGGAAGCACAGAATGGCCAGCCTATTTTGTCTGCAACCTTTGCACTTGAAAATGAGCATCCTAAATGACCAAGGTTCTGAATCACATGGGGTTTCTAAACCAGGTAGGATCCTGATTTCAGGCTTGTCACACCTATCTACGGAGAGCAGCATGGACAAGAGAAATGAGACAGAAAGGATGGAGATACCCGGCACGGTCCACTTCTCCAGGTTTGGTGCCCTTTACAGAAGATTAGGGTGAATGCCTCTACGGAGCTGCTATTAGAGAGAACAGAAGAGGTGGTCACCCACAAAATACACACATGTGTGCACTAAAGAGATTTCCTTTTTTGCAAGGTTTTTAAACAACTTTGCACAATTTATTTTCATAAATTCATCAGAAAAAAACTCGAGAGCCTTCATTCCTTCATTCGCTTTGATCCCTTTCCCCCTACGCTTGCTAAGCCCCACTTAGATTTCTTAATTTTTGGTTTAGAAAAGTGGAGGGTGTATTATACATGGGGGGCATCTTATACATGAAAAAATACGGTATTTGCATCATCAGTGCTGGCAGCATGTTTTAAAAAAGTAAAGTGGCTAAGGGAAGGGGCAATGTGTAGCCTGCATAATTAACTTCCATTTTGCAACCTGATATGAATCACAAATAGGATAAGTAGGAAGTAGAATTTAGAGAAATACAGTGATGTTGAGACTGAAATATTGTTCCTTTGCTCTAATTTACATCTCTAATATCCCGTTGCACAAGTATACATGCTAACACAAAGCTGTGAAAGAGACAGAAAATATCATGGTAGAGTAGAAGTAATATACAGTATAAAAAAAGATGTCTGTAGGTGTGTCATACAATCATCCCAACATGAACTGTTATGTGAGCAGCACAATCATGAACCACATGATCATGGTAAAGGTAAAGGTAAAGGTTCCCCTTGACATTTTAGTCCAGTCGTGTCCGACTCTAGGGGGCGGTGCTCATCCCCATTTCCAAGCCGTAGAGCCAGCGTTTGTCCGAAGACAGTTTCCGTTGTCATGTGGCCAAAGCGACTTAGATTTGGAACGCTGTTTACCTTCCCACCAAGATGGTAGCTATTTATCTACTTGCATTTACATGCTTTCAAACTGCTAGGTTGGTGAGGAGCTGGGACAAAGTAACGGGAGCTCACTCCGTCGCATGGATTTGATCTTACAACTGCTGGTCTTCTGACCTTGCAGCACACAGAGGCTTCTGGGGTTTAACCCACAGTGCCACCACGTCCCTGATCATGATCATGAGACACCATCAACTGCACAATGGAGACATGAACAGGACCGTGTTGACAGCCTGGGCTTAAGGCCCTACATTCTTCCATAAGCATGCCTTCCTCTTATTCTACCTCGAACAGGAATTCCGCCCTTGAAGGAATCCTGCGGGCAGAGGGCAGCTTGTCTCTGATTTACAATCCTGCTCACCCACCTACTTTGACTTTACTCAAAGTAATTGCACAGGTATCTTGTTCAGCAGCACAAGCCTTCTTAGGGCCCGTGCAGGTGCCACTGGAAGAAATACAGGTTTCACAGTCCAAGGAAGCACCTGGAAGTGAGAAGAAAAAGATTCCCGCATGAAGATGGTACAGCCCAAACTCTAAAGAAATAAATCTACAGAACACACTTAATAAGAAGAATTGTGTGTCGTCAAGTCAATTCTGACTTATAACAACCCTTTTCTAGGTATGAATAGGACCATGTTGACAGCCTGGGCTTAAGGCCCTACATTCTTCCATAAGCATGCCTTCCTCTTATTCCACCTCAAACAGGAATCCTGCGGGCAGAGGGCAGCTCGTCTCTGATTTACCTACTTTGACTTTACTCAAAGTAATTGCACAGGTATCTTGTTCAGCAGCACAAGCCTTCTTAGGGCCCGTGCAGGTGCCACTGGAAGAAATACAGGTTTCACAGTCCAAGGAAGCACCTGGAAGTGAGAAGAAAAAGATTCCCGCATGAAGATGGTACCGCCCATACTCTAAAGGAATAAATCTTCAGACCACACTTAATAAGAAGAATTATGTGTCATCAAGTCAATTCTGACTTATGACGACCCTTTTCTAGGTAGAGAATATTCAGAAGTGGTTGACCCTTCCCTTCTGCTGGATGTGACATCTTCCCCAAGGCCCCCCAGGCTGGCTATTCTGGGATGTACACTTGCGCCCATGAAGAAGGACCCATATCGTCTTAAACAAGAACCTTGCCCCTGGATGACTCACATTCTGTGAACTTTGTCGGTCACGCTACTTGAGAAAACAGGCTGTGCTACTTCTTCTCGATGTTTAATTTGGCACAAGTGCAATCAGTCATTTTGGAGGGTCAAAGATCAACCCAAAGCGCAGAATCCCAATAGCATTCACTGGAACTAGGACTATAAATGTTGTATCTTACAATAAATTTGGTATCTTTTTTAGTAGGTGCTGCTTAACACTTTGCAGTATGAAAGAAGCATGTGGAGAATGGGTGAAAGTAAGCTGAGAGCATCATCATCTGGTAGTGGTGGTGATGATGATGATGATGATGACGACGATGACGACGACGACAGCAACAACAACAACAACAACAACAACAACAACAACAACAACAACAATTTCTATTATAGAAAACCAGTCAAAGTTTTCATAATTTTGATTGCCTGTGCCTGGTATTTTAGAATAACAATAACAGCAATAATAATAATCCTATGCCATCAAGTCAGTTATCATCATCATCTGGTGGTGATGATGACGACGACAACAACAACAACAATATCTATTATATAAAACCAGTCAAAGTTTTGGGATTTTGGAATAACAATAACAGCAATAATAATCACCATGTGCTGACTTATACTGACCCTTTTCAGGGGTTTCCAGGTAGAGAGTACTCAGAAGTGGTTGACCCTTCCCTTCCTCTAGGGGGCGTCCTGAGACTGTGCAGCTTGCCCAAGGCTACATAGGCTGGTCATTTTGTAGCCAGTAGCAAGATATTCCCTGACCTTCACTCATACAATGTCTTAACATGTGTGTACTACAAACCCAGTGTAAAGGACAGGTGGAACGTGACTGATATATAGGATTGTTGTTTTGTTTCATCATTGTAAGATACACTTGCTATTTGTGTCTGAGGGATATGAAAAGTCCCCAGTGTCTGAAATCTGTTGTGTAGGCTACAACACATAAAGCTGATAATGTCACCACCAGCAACAATTTTTCAGTAATTAAATACTTCTGATATGAGGGGAAGAGTCTTTAATTACCTAAAAGCTTCACTGTTGATAAAGTTATCCTGGTGGTGGAGGAGGTTTTACACAACTAAAGGTCTCTGGATACTGCCTAGTGTTCCCCCATGGCTTCCTAATGATGAGGGCAACTGCACAGAAGCCTGGATATTTTTGGGAGAGAGAGCAGAAACATTTCAGGGGAGGGGGGGAATCAGAAAAAGGCTGTGTGATCTCTTAGCATAGTGATTTCATCATGAAAAATGATGTCTAGTCTAGCCCTGCAATGGCAGGATGTGAAGTTTAAAGATTCAGGCTGTGCACCAAATTCTTGTGGGTAGTTCCAAAACGTATAAGCTTTAATTAAAGCTAAGAAGCTAACCTAGCCCTAACAATGACTATGAGACTTTGGGACTTATCATTGAAAGCTAGCTGTTCGTTGTTTGGTTTTTTTGAGTGGTCTAATAAAGGTATCACCTGTTCCTGCAGAAACATTTCATTTCTGAAAAATTGCTGCTGTTGATGACATCTTCAGTCTTAAGAAGAGTAACTTGGTAACAGGATCCCAGCCACTGGCATTCTCATGCCCATTGACTTAGGCCCTCTCAACTCAACAAGGCAGCTCACCAAGGTTTTTTCTCTCTTCAAAACCTGCAAAACGTTTCCTATGAGAGTAGACCCATTCACTTGCAGGGGTTTGGCGAAGTGTTGACTACTTATTCAACAATTGCATCAGTAGGTCTACTCTGATTTACACACAGCATTTTCAACCGGTTTTATGTCCAAGTAATTAGGTCTAAATGATTGGGTTTACCTCCAGGATTTTGAAGTGGGAACCAAAGTTAGGACAGATGATATAGAACAGATTTAATACCCTAAAATCATTTGGTTTTGAAGAATTATTCCTCCCACACACTCATACTCCCCAGGAGAAGCAGCACTCCTTACCCGTAGTGAAAAATAGAGAGAAGAGGAAGAATTTCTTGAAGGCTGTCATGGTGTTGGTAAGGGCAAAATATGTAAGCTGAAGGAGAAATTTTCTTCTTGGTGAACCAAATGTGGTGATCAGAAGTATCTGCAGTAACAGAGCAAAAAACAAGCAAAGTTAAGCTCCTTCTCACAGACAGTATAGAAGTGTTTTAGTCAGTGGTGACTAAAATGTTGAAGAGGCCATCTGGAAAGTACGTGGAAAAGCTGCTACGCTGAAATGTAAGGTGATTACTATGGACTAACATTTTGGGCAATATTTTGCACTTTGCCATGGCTGAATATGAAATCTCTGTACCAACACGGTATTTTATCATTAGATATATTCAAGGCATTTGACTGTGTCGAATGGCCAACATCAATTATATCTGGAGAATACTTCTGTAGTAATAGTTAATGATGGGATGAAAGAACAAATAGCTCTAGGCCCAGGTACTTGACAAGGTTGCCCTCTTTCTCCAGTTCTATTTTATTTGATTATTGAAATTTTAGCAAATGTAATAAGGAATGATGATTTAATTGAAGGCATGGGGGAGAAGAATAAAATAAAGATTATTTGCTGTTGATTCCTTCTTGACAGTGAAAAATTCCTTTCGAATGTATAGATAAAATAAAAATTCATTTGGAAAAATTTGGAAAAATAACTGGATTATGTGTAAATTGGCAAAAATCTGAACTAATGTTGTTCAATCATAATAGAGCAGAACAAGAAAGGTTTGTTGAAAAATATGATTTTAAAATATTTAAGTCAATTAAATATTTAGGAATAGATCTAGCAAAAAAATTGTGTATATATATTTATATACAGTACATTGAACTAAACAATGATACTAGCCATTCAGTAAAGATTTTAAAACTTTTATTTAGTTAGGCACTTGTAGAATTCAGCCTATTTCACCAGAAAATCCATTTGCCCTTAAGATGCCTCATTATTCTTTGTGCCTTTTCCTTCGGCCGATGAACACAGTGATCCTACTCCTTCATGTATTACTGGATGTCTTTCCTCACAAAATGCAGATTTATAGTAATATTTCACCTATACACACTATATACATTTTTAAACATATAGGATTTTACAATCATCTGTTTAACTTCGAGCTGGAAAACCTCTTTTTGTTCCTTGCGAGATTGTCAACAGCAGGAAATCTTAAGGTTTCACCACATCCTGTTTTTCATTTTTCTCAGAAAGGTGACAATCAGGTATGTTCACATCAGATGTTGATGACAGAATTCTTCATGAATACTTATAAGAAACAAAATGGATGTGATTCCAACTTACCACATGCTCCTTGTTCCAAGTATCGATGGTCGGGTCCAAATAAGTGGAAAGCAGACAGAAAGGACTTCTTAGAGCCGGGTCACTCATGCACAGTCACCCTAAGGAGGTGTAAATAGTGCTGAAAAGAGTCAACAATGCTTACACCTTTTTTGGCATCCTTAGACTTACTCGTAATCCTTATCATTATATCTATTTATGTGCAATTGACATACAAACAGATCATTTGCTGTTTAACATCCCAATGAAAGAACAATGCACCATCTTTTCTAAATCCTATTTCCCTCCTCCACTGCTTAAAGCAATAAAAGATCCATAACAACTGTATTGCACTGTCTTTGCTCTTATACCTCACTGTCTCCCTCCTCTGTAAGGTAAAGGTAAAGGTTGCCCTTGACATTTACAAAAGTCTTGTCCGACTCTAGGGCGCGGTGCTCATCTCCGTTTCCAAGCCATAGAGCGAGCATTTATTCGCTCAACATTTATGCTGTGTTTGCCTCAGAAGAAAAGTAGAACCACCTTCCATTTGTCCTTCACACCAAAAGCTTGGGGATTTTAATGAACTCTTCATTTTGAAGTACAAGTTGCTTCCAACTCATAAACTTATCACATTGGTAACTTCTTGTTTTCCATGCACAAAGTCTTTGCTTGAACACAAACATTGCCATGCAAACTTGCATGGGATTCTCCATCATCTGTGCTAGCTTCAAGTACATAATTTTAGTCTCCCATGGGCATGCATCAGGAGGGAAGCAGGGGGAGATTTCTAAGAGAGAGACAGATATGTGTGTGGGGAAAAAACTTGTAAAAGTAAGTACTGTGAAAACAAGGAAGAAAAGTGGTGGAATAGGAATGAAAGCATAAGAAAACCAAAAAGCTGCCATTTCGTAGATCCCATGCTCAGCAACCCAGTTTTGAAAGCATTAGCTTGTTTCTAGAAAGAGTGCTCTCACAAGCAGTGAAAAAGGTATAACTGTGGAAGCACATATCTCAACCGCTCATGGCAATTTCTGTCTGAAGCTTCCAAGGCTGAAATCTTTCCTCTAAGAGTTCAATATTCTGCTACTGCTCCCCAGTTTTATCCTCTCAAGAACCATATAAGGAAGGATAATTACAAGCTCAAAGTACTGCTCTATCTCAACCTAGTTCGCTTTCTCTTTCATTCACCACTCTCAACTCTTCCTTTTTTTGCCCCAATGCTGTCTAATTTTATTCAATTTTTTTTGTTATGTTCATGCTATGGACTCACCTCATTATTAACACACACTCTCTTCTCAAACACACAAACACAAACACACCCTAAATCCATATTATTTTGCAACTGTTGGACCCAGCTCTGATGACATTTTGCACCTGTGGTCACATAAAGACCTGTCTCTTGCTCCTCAAATTTTGCCCCAGATTTCTTGGTGGACCCGAAAGCCACATTCTTTCTCCATAAGCAAATCAGACTATGGGAAGGCTACTGCTCATGTGTCACTAAACACATGCACAGGAGACTTCCACTTGCTGTAGCTGCAAACTCTCCCCCCCTCCCCCCTTTGATTCAGCCACCTGGCTTGTCCAATGGGCTCCTTCTGAGACAACATCACAATAGGTTTATCCACCCTGGAGTTGCATCAGAGGTGGGGACCCATATTGGACAACCAGCAGCTTGCCAAGTGGGGCTTCTAGGTGACAACCACTACTGTCGTTGTAAGTGTTGAAGTATATGCTGCCCCCAGCGTCCACATTCTGCCATCCCTTTCTGCTTTCTGTCCTAGTAAAACCAGCTCTGTGACTGAAACGTTCTAGTGCTGGGGCAGGAGAGGAGATTCATCTCTGTGCATCACCAGAGGGTTCCTTCTCTTGTTTACCTTCGCCCACGTATGTGTGGCTTACATTCTGGTCTTGGACCTCTCCATAAGTCAGCAGTGAGGAAGGAGAAAGTGAGAATATCAGACAGCATGGATACAGCAAAATCCATAACCAAAATCTTTGTTGAAACCACGTTTTCTGAAGCTGCAGCTCCCACAGTGTAGAGCGGTGGGTCCGAGAAGCCTTCATCACTAGCTGTTCTGGCCAGGATTTCTGGGAGTTGTAGTCCAAGAACATTCAGAGAACCAAGGCTAGGATCCATTGCTGTAGCGGTCAGAGAATATATAGGGTGCCTCTCCAGTGGTCAATTCAGCAGTGACTCCAGTTTCTGGGAGAGAGGGACTCCATACCGGATTTCCATCTGAGCTTCAATGGAGCTGTTCAAAGTGCTGAATCAATGGGGGAGGTGTGCGTGTGTGAATTTCAACAGCTTTGGGAACAAAATATCATTAAAACCATCTGATATGGAGTTACTGCCCCCATAAAAATTGGGGTCGCCAGCCTGTAATGTGCAGGGGAGAGATCGGAGTCAACTCTTCCCAGGATCCATCTCTCCCCTCACTCACTCCCTGCCCCCCCCCAGCATCAAGAAAGAGGATTCCCACCTTTTTATGTACATGAGAAGGAGGTGCCCTGTTTCACTACACAAGATTATGGCTACAAGAAATACAGGACTGAGCTGCTGTACATTTAGCTATCAGGCAGTTTGGCTTTTCATGAAAGTGGTGCCTCCTGTTCATGGAGCCACGTTATCGTGCAGTAAAGGAATAGTATGATCTGCTTCTTGAGAATGCAGTCTCTTATTTCCCCCATGAAAATATTGCAGCATTTCTGGGTTTTTGTGGGTATGGCATGTTGTAAATATGTCTACCTGTTTTTTCTCTCTCCCCCCCCACTCACTCATCAAGTAGAGTTTTCCTTTAGCAATACAGGGCATTACTCAAGAAACGTCATTCAGATAGAGATCCAGGAGAGTGATTTTATACAGCCGGACCAAGAAAGTCCAGTCCATCCAAAAAATAATAAGTTGGTGTTTTGTGCAATTTTGCAATAGATGGGGCAATAAATGTAAATATTTGGGTGATTTCAGAACTAGATCATTGTTCATATGACCAAACGTACTGCTGGGCTTGAAGTCTGTAGATTGTTTTTCCTTTTCCCTGGAACCAAGCTGATTTCTTATTTCTTATTTCTTATTCACCTGTTTCTAACCTTGCTTTTTTATTGTTGTTGTTTTAGGGTGAGAGGATCCATTTCAGCTGTTTCTTTCATCACTGTGATGTGATGAGCTGTTTGAGAACATCACACCTCTAATGCATCCTCTTACTTTGTATTGGTTTAAGATGGGAATACTGCTGTTCCTGGCAGGAGAAGGTAAATGTGTACACACATTATGTGTCCTCAGTTAAAGCTGACCCTTTGAATCAATGAAATTTACATGCTGGTCAATGTACTATTCAAAGTTTTGATCCAACTGACCTGCTTTAATTAGGACTAGCAAGCAGATCGAGCCCTTGAACTACATCTCCCAAAATCCCAGAGTCAGCTTGTTTGCTGGCCGTGTTGGAGAGGAAGTTGTAATCTTTGAGAGAGGGAGTCCAAAAAAAAAATAAAATCAAATTTCACTAAACTCTGGATTCAATTCTTTAAACAGTATCTGAATCAGGAAATGAGGGAGCCCCCTTTTCTTTCCATCTGTTAGAAAAGTATATCCTGTGATCCTTTCTAACATGCCAAGGATGGAAAGCAGTGACTAGGGGTCTTCTGAAGCCAAATCAACAGGCAATGAGGTCCTTCAAGGTAAAAAAATATGTCACTACAATTATGAGATCCAGAAGGGTCCCTACCCTTTCTTGATGAGTGTCCAATCAGCTAGCATTTAACCTATGATCTTCCATCTTCCAGGTGTTTAGTTTTTCCTCAGGAATGAGGAGGGGGTTACATGCTAAATAATCCGAGTACACGTAAATGTATAAGTGAAGGTCTGTGGCAAAATCCAGTTTTAATACTTGTGGAGGGAGGACCGTCATGTCCGAATTCACCTGTTCAGTACTTATTTCCCTCTCTACCCCTTTGTTTTTAGGGCTGCCCCTGAGGTGTGAAATTTGTAGAGACACTAACTACGATTGTACTGGACCCGCTTATGCCTGTTTGCCCTTTTTCGACTCATGTGTCACCATTCAGTCAGAGAAACGACCAGGTGTGTACAAATGATCCGTGGTTGCTCACAAAGTCTCCACAACAGAGATGTGTAAGGAGTCCTCTGTGATATTTTTTTTCTCATCCTGCTCTTTTTTAACACTTCCTTCCAAGACTGCCGTGGAAACCAGGAGATTGTCTGAAACAGATTATCTGAAGCAGCAACAGGGAGAAATTTATTTATTTTATTTATTTGATTTATACCCCGCCTATCTGGACTACCAGACCACTCAGGCATCCGAAATGCACTTCGGATGTGTGTGTCCTTCTCACAAATTTTCTGTGCATAATAAAGTTTGATAGTCCTATGCTGCTTGGGTGTGAAGTATCATCCACTGCAATATTTTTGTGTTTCTTAGTTATGCTTCTCCATTTCAGGCTCTTAACACTGGTCAGTTTCAAAGAGTTGTGTTAGTCTGCCCATCATGGAATGCCACACAACCATTTGAGATAACAAAAATCTTGCAGAAAGTTATACAGTACTTCAGGAAGCCTGATCAGAGGACTGTCAAATATAATCTTGCACAGGAAATCTGTGAGCAGGGAAAAACTCAGGAGGCAGGCCAGGCCAGTGGCATAACCATCAATTCAAAATGCTAGAGGATGTAGTGGAATAATATAACATGAATGCAAACTGAAAGCTACAATGCAAGATGGGTCGTGGGAAAAAGTCTGTAAAATGAGGGTCATCACAGTACGTATTGTTTGCTAAGGTATTCTTAGTGACCCAATATTTATTTATTTATTTATTTATTTATTTATTTATTTATTTATTTATTTA